GGACCTATAAAAGAGGAAAACTAGGGTGATCTGCGTTATACTCAGGGCAGCTCAGGGATAGGCAGATGGCTCGTAGGTGGGGAAGTGGCTGGCAACATGGAAAGTCACAGAAAAGAATTGCTAGGCATAGGATGAGACGAGGAAAGACATTAACTCGGAAAAGAATTGCTAGGCAAAAATATGGAGGAAGATCTAACGATGAATGCTTATGATTCTGATAGGAATAACGATTGAGGTTACAGTTACTAAGGCTACAATCTTTGGGTGAGTCAAATTATGGAACTTCTATCACAGTGCAATAGCCTTAACTGTATTTTTGGCATTCTTTTGATTTTTTAGCATTCTTTGAAGATGCAGCTTGTGTTGGTTGGTCTTGTGAAATATTAAAAGGAACAGAGTCAAATTAGAGGCCTTCCATTGTTAATGAAATGAAGTAACTCCTTTTTCTGGGTGGTTGGTGGTGTTATTATTGGGCGGCGGAGGTGGCCGCGATGGGCAGATGAGACGAAGAGTGTCTGTGACCAACTATTTGGTCGATCTGTGACTAAGTATTGGAGGTGTACTATGATTGGGGGACGAGTGTTTGGGTGTATGTAACCAACTATGTGGTCTGTGACCTTAAAATTCGTTAATCTGTGATTCAAAATATAATATGTGACCAACAAATTTGAAAATATGTGATTTCTGTGACCTATAATTTTTTTTTTAAACTTGTGACCAATTAAAAATTTATGACCTATAATTGTTTTGATTAGTGACCAATGGAGTCAATTGTAGCCTATAAATTTTTTAATATGTGACATATAAAATTTTAGATTTGTGACTTCGAAATAATTTGTGACCTACAAAATTTTTGATCTGTGACCAGAGAACAGTCACCGGAGTGGTCGCCGATCACCGAAGTAGTCGCAGGAGCAGAGGTGGAGGTGAGGTAGGGGTGGGTTAATTATAATATATTACAGTTAAATATTTAATTTAATATAATAATTGTGAAATATAATTAATTCATTAATTCATTAAAAATCTGATTTTTGCAATTCTAAACCTTGGGCCTTGATTTTTTATTTTGGGATAGATAAAGTCTAAGTTGTGAATTTCTCCCCTAAAAATACCCGATGAAACAGAGGTTGGAATGGCCAACCCGTCCCATACCCGCCCCGTTGCCATCCCTATTAAATGGACGAGATGAACAGCTCAACTCGCCTTTCATTAGACTCAACTCTACTTGGTTTGGCTCGCTCAACCATGGCTCGACTTGGCGCACAAGCTCTTTTCCCGATGGAACTAGTTGACACACTCGCAACTCAAGAATTTTTTTCTTTTTTGTTTTTTTTACTCAAATTGAATATTTTCCTAATTATGACAAGTGTGCTGGTGAGCCAATTCGTGCAAGTCGCGACAAAATCGATGTTCAGCTCGCTAGTGGGCAAGCCAAGCTGGAGCGATTCCCCCACTTTAACACCCCTACCTAAATGTGTAAAGACTAAAGCATATTAGGCGTACTGGACTAATTAGGTAAGTTTCAAGAGACGCATAACAAAATTGTCAATTATCGAGCCCGATCCTATCAAATACGCTGTACCAAAGCATACAAGGAAAATATAGAACCTTTTTTTTTCAATATATAAACTAAAGCATACAAACGATAACTTAAATACAAAACAAGCTAAAAGGCCTAATGGAAAAATAAAAGGCCTCGTTCCAAAACTCGATTATGCACCCATACATATGAGTGATTTCTGCTCAAGTTGATTAGTAGACTATCAATATTCTAATGAGTTTGCTTTCTGATGCATGAGCTAGCAATCAACTCATGATGTTTAGAGCTTGATGGCATGAGTAAGTTGGAGGAGCTAGGTATCGATAGACTATGTTAATGGGGAAGGGGAAGGCGTGCCCTCCATGGGACAGAGCACAGGAGCTGGCTGTGCAATAAAAGTTGGAACATTATCTCCGGGCATCAGCACTGAAACTTCTCTGGCATTAACAGACATCTGGAAAACGAGGCATATAAATCAGAAGGCCTAGATTCAGAACTAGGGATAATCTTATGGATAGCTTCAAAAATAAGCCAAACCAAGCAAAATTGAATCTAAACCTGGAGAATGTTAAAAGCTCAGCCAGGATTCTATCACTGGCAGTGTGTGAATTGCTAACCTTGTAAGACGTTGATACAAGACAACTTATAAAATAAAAACAAGATATCATAAATGGTACTACAGTACTACTTCTTAAGTATTTTATAACGTTAGTCGAGATATTTGAATCTTTATTATGCATTAAAAAGTTATACCTACATGTTTCGTTAGTGAATTTAGGTGGTTCTAATGAATTTTTCTCACAATGAACTAGCGAAAAACGAAAACAATTACAATACTGATTTCATAACAGCAAAACAAGACTAATGAGAAGCATTCACGCAAGGAAAAGCAAGCACAGGCCACCTCATGTTACTCGTCCCACAGCATGTCCCAATGGAAAATGCTTAACACATATAATTAGGCAAAATTAGGGCCGGACTCCCCAACCTTTGAGGTAGTGTGGATAAGGGTCCCCATCCTTTAAAAAACGAGGTTATGGATCGTCAACCTAAATTTGATTGATGGAAACCATCCATTTGAGTGTTATAAGTCAATATCTGTATCGAAACAACAATTTTATGTATAAAAAATAAGAGAAAAGGGAAAACAAAAAGAAGAAAAAGTGCCTGCCAAAAGGGGGAAAAAGAGAGTCATCCCCTCCTCCCTAACCTAGCATCTCCTGGCCCTCAATCCGGCACCAGCACGACATCTCCTTCACCCATCAAATTCTTGCTTCAAACAGAGTTTGTCAGACAAGATTTTTACACCGTATGTGCAAGCAACAAAATTCTGAAAACTTTACTAAAGTCTACACATGGAAAAAAAGCATCAGTCACTCGAACTCCATTTTCACTGAAACAAGATGGGAAGTCTCTCATTTTTCAATATATTCAAGAAGATCCATGATTTTACTTTTAACACCTTTATGTACCCTTCTGAACACTTAAGGAATCAAGTTTCAAGAAATGGAAAAAGGCAGGTGAAACCGTACCAGAAATGAATTAACAGACGGTGAAAATAACAGTCTTACATAGGTTAAGGATCTATAACCTCGTTTTTAAAGGTTGGGGACCCACACTACTTCAAATATTGGGGAGTCCAACCCTAATTTACCCATTTAATTACTATGATCATATCTACTACAACCTTTCTGTATTTACAGTTAATAATGGCAACTGATTAGCACGTACTAACACAAACTCAATCAAATGCAGATAATAGAGAAGCCTACACACGAAGTTTTGAGTAAAGATAAGGATGGACATCAGAAGAGATACCACTTTCCATTATGACCTTGAAATGAAATTCACACAGGTAATGAATATTTCTAGAGAAGTTGCATTTTACAATACAAATTATGCCATTTTATTAGGATTCAATTAGAGAAGTAAAATGCTAGCGAGTGCAGGAATCTTGCAGCAGCATATTAACCTGACTGAAAATATTCATAACTCATCATTAGCATTTATAGGTGAGGGCTCAGCATTCAGTAATAATTCTGTATAGTTCATTAACCATAAATATTTCCTCTATCCAAATGTTCCTGTTTAGAAGTTCGTTTTGCAAAAAAGGGTTATTTCTCAGTTTAGGCAATGAATAAACAAGAATAAAAACGAGAAATTCACACAATTGCACAAATGCAAGCTGAATCTTAACTACTCATGCTACCCAAGTGCTTTTAGATTCGAGACTTGAACACAAGTCACAAGACTGAAAAGGTTCCCATAAAGTAGTCACATCTCATTCCATCTATATCATCCTTAAAGCCTGAAGCTCTGAGTTGGATACATAATCCCATGACTATAGAACTTCTATTGTCCACTCACCAGTATATTCCAACTTGAAGATAAAGCATTTTATTATCCACACACTATATTTAAATAAACTCCATCTCTAATACTTTGGACTAATATTATAAGCAAGCAAGATTTAAGAACACTCAATAATTCAATAAATAACTAGGAACCAAGTTGTGCTTATAATTAATGCTAGAACGACATTAAACAAATAAAGAAATTTCACAGGTTAGAAAACTGTCTCCACACCCCTGGTTTGGTCACGCGGGGCATAAAAGATACTGTTGTGATGGGCCTAAAGGATATCATTTACAGTGGTGGGGCTATAGCTAAGACCCCATAATGAAGAACTATATATAGGCATATTAGCTCTCATTAATTTGTAGTTGAGACCAATCAACCAGCTAACAACTCCTCAATGGGCCATTATGCTAAATATATCATATATAAGTGTGCATACCTAGTGTCCCAAAATATGGGAAATATGCACATGCATATAATGTAAAATAATTTGACACTATACAATAAAAAAAAATAAAAATAAAAATCAGATGAGCTAATCTATCGTTCTGTTTCTTTCTAAACAATTTAGTTTATTAGCATATGAGAATTTCCATAAACTTTTATGGAAGAAACTTCAAAATTCCCGTATCAGTCTCGACATTAGATCCCCCTTAGATCAAGCAATCTTGCAGCAGAACTGTAAAATTCAGAAAAAAAATTGCAAACCAAAACTAGGGACTTTCAATTCAGTTTTCAAATCTAGGTTATTCTCACAAACAGAAGTATAATGCAATAATTGAAAGGAGAAAAGGGAGTAATCACAGTTGAAAAAAAAAATCAAATTATCGAGAATAATACAATTTTAATTACACATCACCACATAAAAGTTGTAATTTCGCACTCAAAAACGGGAAAGAATCATAAAAAGGACATTTATATGCCAAAATGCAGCAGATCCCAAAAATTCAACCGAAATTGCAAAACAATCTATGTATGGGTTTGTAATAACACTCACTTTAGGTGATGGGTGCCCAAGCTTTGAATTCAACCCTATAATTATGTTGCTCTGAGACTCAATGTCAGTGTGGCGGCGGGGGACACCAGACGGCGTTACAGTCTGCGAGGTGGTTCTGAGGAACTTCTCAAAGATAGCCATGACAAGAAACATAGAGATGAGTATGGCGGTAGCAACAAACCCAAATGAAACTGCATTCACCGAGTTATCAAAATGGGTGCAGTGGTCATCTTTCTGTATGTAGGAAGGCGCACTACTTGGCGCCGGCGGCCAACCTCTAAAACCCTCTTCTTCTACTCCCATGACTACGATTCCTCTTCAATTATTTTACAAATTTAAGCTTAGCTTTTAGCAGTAATACTGTTTAAGATTCTTTGAGAGAGAAGCGAGAGGCACGAGGAGTAAGGTTGAAGAGAGAGAGAGAGCGCTCCGGAGACTGACGGTATATGCATTTTAACGCTTTTAAAGAAGAGTTGGAATGCACCACCCCGTATTTTTCACAGTTGAAAGGAACGCCTTTCCGTCTTTGTTTCACTCGCATAATAATTTCAGAGGAGTTAATTCAACTAGTTATCACTGAATTTTATCTTTGATTATCATTTGGTCCTTAAGTCTCCGTTGTTTGGTATAAATTAAAATTAGATTTTCAGTAGAATATAATAAAAGATAATAAAATATTTGATTAAAAAGTTGTGAATTTCATAAAATGTGATATTAAAATTAATTTTTTATTATGACTTGAAATTTTAACTCAAATCAAACAAATACTAAATAATAAAAGGTTATTAAAATGCTCACTGAACTAATCTAAATTTTTTCCAATTCATCATAAGTAATTTCCATTTGTACAATTCGACAAAAAATTTCACATGAAGGATGAAAAATGACATTGCATACGAAATCTATGAATAATCTGCACGTCAATGTAAATTGCTTTTTTGCTAAATAGAAACAATCATGCAATTTTACACTACGGCTCTTCCAATTGAAAAATATATATATATATATATTAATCACATCCCAAAAGTTCTACATCTACATCTCCCAATCAGTCACGAGCCCGAAGTTTGGTCTCCAAATCAATTTCTGCCACTGACAAATACAAATTTTTTCATCCTCGTCCACTAAATCCCAAGGAGTCTATCAGATGTGTGTAACGAAGTCGTTATTGATAGAAATCAACTCAAAAGGCGAAAAATGCTCAAGGTACGTCGAATTGGATTTTAGGTCCATGTGATTTGCCTTATTATTGGGTTCCTGGTAATTTGATCAGTTCGGGTTAGGAAGAAATCGATATTTGTAGCTGGTTGGTTGTCGTTTGTGTTTGATACCACGTTAATCATTTCATGAAAACCCTTAAACTTAAGTTTTTAGACTAGGATCACGTGTATTTCTTTAATTTATTCTTCAACACGATGTTTTATTGCAAGAATTATCATTTTATAAAATTAAATAAAAAAAGATCTGATCTTTGTGGAAAACACTTTCTAAAACAAAAACCAAAAAAATCATTTATTATTTTGTGCTAGAACCCTTTGTGACGAGAAAAGGTCCACATTAATATTTCCATTGATAAATGAGTAAAAAGTGGATAGTATGAGGACTTGTTACCAATTAAGAAATTATATGAGAGTCTCTAAGTATTTTGAGGATTCTAGCAAAATGAAATTCTAAAATTCGTGTGATTTTTTGGTGGATATTAGTATTTTAGCGCTAATTGGAGCAAGCATTGTACCTTAAATTTATTTAGTAGATACATAATGGAAATCAATACAATGATACTATACACTCATATTTATACTATACATAATGCAAATTAACACAAGATAAAGTTTTTTTTTTTTTACAATATAATCCCTCATATATTGGGACCAAAGACATTCCTTGATAAAGTTCAAAAGCTATTTAAGTCTTTTGAACATCGCTAAATGTCGGTAAATTTCGATATAATCCCTCATTTATGGGCAGTCCATGGGTGATTTATGATATGATGTACCAAAATTTAGAAACTTGACAATCATCATACTCGAGAAATTTATGTTGTGACGTGAATAAAAAGTAACATAAATGGTCCATCAGTCATGTCTAAATGTAATAGCGTATTTGCAAACTTTGACATGTCATCAATTTTATACTATTAACAAGACGTTTTATAAGACTTCTCCACCTACAATCGTAAAACTAGAAATAGCAAGATTTTTATACTATTAAAAAGACGTTTTATAAGAATTCTCCGCCTACAATTGTCAAACTAGAAATAGAACAATGGATCATATCAGGGGCGGACCCAAGAGGGGTCCTGGGTGGCACGTCCCCCGCCCCCCTCCCCTCCCCCAACTTTTGATTTTTTTTTT